TAGAGAGCCTGATGTAGTCTCCATCCCAGAACCCTGGGATCATGACCTGGACTGAAGGCAGACACTTAACCAACTGAGCCACCCAGGCACACCAAGTTTATGTACATTTTAAATTAAGATTTCAACATTTTAAGTCCCAACTTTCCAAAATTAGAACAGCTGACTCAATGAAGTATCTGCCTTAGAACTTGCTAAGTAACCCTGCTGCTGAACCACAAACACAGCCAATTTTTTTTAATCCTTCCAAAAATATCAGATTACACACAACTATTGGTAAATACTCTTCAAACTAATCACTAATGGCCAAGAAATCTTAAATAATATCCATCCTAAAACAAGGCAACTTCTACATGGACAATATTATTTACCAAGGGTCTTCATTTCTTTTTTTCTTTTTAAAGATTTATTTATTTATTTGCGAGACAGAGAGAGAGAGAGATGGGGGTAGGGGGGCAGGGAAGGTGGGCAGAGGAAGAGAGAATCCTCAAGCAGACTCTCCAGTGAGCGTGCGGCCCTATGTAGGGCTGGATCTCAGGACCCTGAGATCATGACCTGGGCAGAAATCAAGAGTCAACAGCTCAACTGACTGAGCCAGTCACATATCCCAGAAAGGTCTTAATTTCTAAAGAAATTATGAATTATAATTTATGACACATGCTCAAGTAGTTGTAAGGTACAAAAAAGCCTGAAGCCATTATCTACAGCCATGAATCCAGGTAAAGAACACACAGTTCCTGAAATATACCCGCCCTCCTTCAGCTTGAACATTCTCTTATTTTCTGATAATAATCCTTTCTTATTCTAGTTACTCTCAACTGCTCTGAAGAGAAAGATACACAACATCCCTATCTACCATAAAGCCCAACTGAAGAGGAAACTATATGACACAGAGGCTTCACAGAGTTCGTCCCAACATGGAACTCATGTCCTCTCATAAAAACTATGAGAAACTGCTTCAGCTACAAGGCAGACTGCAGATTATTCTTTGAGAAACATCTGACTTATATAACAGAAGGGATTTTTTTTTTTTTTTTTTTTTTTCCCAGAGAGAGCGAGCACAGGCAGACAAAGAGGCAGGCAGAGGGAGAAGCAGGCTCCCTGCTGAGCAAGGACCCTGATGTGGGACTCGATCCCAGGACGCTGGGATCATGACCTGAGCCGAAGGCAGCCGCTTAACCAACTGAGCCACTCAGGCGTCCCAACAGAAGGGATTTTAAAGAGTGCCAGCTCAGCAGTCTTTCATAAGACTCCATCAATCTCTGCCTTGGTTTTCTCATTGAAAATGGGACTTCCCGGGGGTGCCTGGGTGGCTCAGTCAGTTAAGCATCTGCCTTAGGCTCAGGTCAGGATTCCAGGTTCCTGGGATTGAGCCTCATATCCGGCTCCCTGATCAGCAGTGAGCCTGCTTCTCTCTCTTCCTCTGCAGTTTCCCCTGCTGGAGCTCTCTCTCTCTCTCTCTCTCAATACATAAGTAAAATCTTAAAAAAAAAAAAAAAAAAGGAAAGAAAATGACTTCCCAAACGTGCATGTGAGAATTAAGTAAGATAATACAACTGAAAGAACCTGTATAACCGTAAAGTATTTATGAAATACTCGTTCAGCAGAGAATTCATATTTTTTCTCATAGGGAAATTCAACTATCAGTATGTAATAATTTATTTTTTTTTAGTATGTAATAATTTAATAAACAAAAGATATTCTTTTATTCTTTTGGATTTAAAAATCTTTTCTTAAGATAAAATTTATCAATGCATAAAAAGTGTTAAAGTTGAGGACTAAATAATGAAAACACATGTAAGGCAAATCATTCAATGTGAAATTTGTACTATTTTAAATTTCTAGAAACATATTTTTGTTCCTATACTTTCAAGATCAAGGGGAATCAATATTATGAAAAAATTCTCAGAATTCAAGGTAATGTCTCCTGTACCTATAATCATTTATGTGGCTTACACTGGCACATATTCTGACTGAAAGAAAGGTAACAAGCTTTATGAATAACAAGTCAAGCTTCAAGAAACAAAATTTTACATCCTATATTTACATCCTATATTTACCCACATTTATGTTGCTATGGACTCTGTTGGAAACATCAAAGAATATGATCTGACATTTCTTAAAAATAATCAAAATCACAACCTCTCATTACTATAGAACCAAAATAGACCACTTCAAAAATTCTCTTCAACCATTTCACTGAAAGCTTTAATTTTGTGTAAGATAAAAAATGGTAACTTCTTAAAGAACTCAGTTTCTTTGAACATTTATCTCTTCTCATCTCTTCAATATTTTTGACTAAATGAAAGGCCATAGAATGTAGCAAATAGATCTTCTCTTTTTCCTACTACATCATTAAAATATAACAGATAATTTTGTGAATTCTGTATCAGAATGAGATCAATTGTTATACCAGAAATGCAACCACAGTTCATAGCTGGAAAAAAAGACACCTTTCTTATTACAGAAAAGGTTATGAATAAACAATTATGTCAGAACCATAATATACAGGCAAAATTTATAAACCTTAAACAGAGACTGCTAATAACAGAAAATAGAACTTTTGCTTCCTGAGAGTTCTAAACAGTTCCTGTCTGTTTTGCAATGAGATTTCACTACTTTCACCACAGACAGAAGCATAAAATTGTGCAGGTTTTCTTATTTTTGCTTTCTGGTTACATGTAAAAGAACATTTATTGTTACACAATGAATTACATTTATTGAGTGTTCCCCTTAAGAAAGGCACAGCCTTAATGCTATAGATGTGTTCTATTTAATTCTCTCTACAACTGTGAGGCAATAAATGGTTAAGTTACTCGAGTGCATGTAAGTGGTAAAGAGCTAAGATTCAACCACAGCCTGTCTGACTCCAAAGACCATGGTCTTTATCACTGCATTAAACCTCTCCGTGACAAAAAGAAAAAAGAAAAAAAAAAAAAAAAGGAACCAAAAAGAAACAAATACATTAATTTGGTTTTTCTGTTTTGGGTTCTTACATCAAGTAGCTATCTAATTGCACTGTTCTTCTTCAGGAGTTATAACTTTTGTAAACAAACTTATGTAAGCATATAAATATATGTAATATATTTGCAAAAGATAAATACCTGTAGCCAAGTGAATTTTACAACACAGACAAAAATAAAAACTGAAAAGAACATTCCTGGAGGAATTAGTATCAACACCTGGTAGGGTACAAATCAATTTTTCAGATTAAGTCATTTATTATAAACTCTACAAGACAGTGCTTGCCACCTAAAGATATTTCGGCTTTGTAATGCCAGTTTTCCTTCTGTGGAAGGAAGCCAGACAACCAAATAATAGAAAGTCTTAGTTTTCCCTTTTCAGGAGACCAGGGCTACTTCACAATGTCTGGAATTTCGATGAGTTAGAATACCTAGCTGAGTCAGTAGCTCTCTAGGCCTTCTCTGGTATAACTAATTGTCACATTTAAAGTGTGTACAGATCCAGTTAATTAGTGTGCACCATGGGGCGCCTGGGTGGCTCAGTGGGTTAAAGCATCTGCCTTCGGCTCAGGTCATGGTCTCAGGGTCCTGGGATCAAGCCCCACATCGGGCTCTCTGCTCAGCAAGGAGCCTGCTTCCCCCTCTCTGTCTGCCTGCCTCTCTGCCTACTTGTGATCTTTGTCTGTCAAATAAATAAATAAAATCTTAAAAAAAAAAATTAGTGCGCACCATAGCAAAGTGTATCTTGCTCTGAAAGGTATTCTTCCTTTTGTTAACATTTGGAATAAGGATGACATGTTTAAGGTAGATTCCCCTCCAAAAAATAAACCAAAAAACCCCCAACCCCTATTTCTAAAAGCCAGCTTAATATATGCAAAATTGAGCTTTTTAAATCCTGCTTGTGAGCGATGTTACAAGACCCTCCTTTCCCAAGACCCCAGGTGAAGGCAGTCACCACCGTCAGGCCCTTGCCCCATCCCACCGTGGTGCTGTCTGGCAAGCCGGACAGCCGTCTGCAGCAACGGCTGACGTTTACTGAGTGCTCTGTGCCAGGACCTGCAGCATGTGCTTTACAGGCCTGTCACCTGCACAGCACCCCCGCGAGGGAGGCGGGCACGGTCACGACCCTGATTTTATGGGTGAGAAAGCAGGAGTCGAAGTGACCCACTCGAAGGCACACGGAGCGAGCCGGCCAGGCTGAACGCGCTCGGGTCTGACTCCAACACCGACGCTTCGGACTTCTCCACTTCAAACTGCTCGTAAGGAAAAGGGGAGTCGGTCCCCAGACCCCTGGCCCTCCATCACCCCTCATCAGCACACAGTGTAAGGTCTCCAAGCAAGCCTTCGCCTTTCACAGTTTTTACGAAGAGCCGAATGAAGAGCGGCGGCGGGAGGAGAGGACGACGGCCGGCGTGGAGCAGAGGGGAAAGCGCGAGGCGAGGGCCAAGAGCCTGGGAGTAAAACCGACGTGAACTGGGCCACAGAGACCTAAATACTTCACAACTAAAGTCGCACGAAACCAAGAAACCGAAAACGAAGTCGGCGCGAGGCTGAGACGTCCGCCCGGCGCGGGGGCAGCGGAAGCCGTCACGCCCCGCTTCGCCTTCCCACGGCCACGGAGGGGACCGAGCACACACACGCGAGCTGAAGGGCGAAGCCAGCGCCGAGTCCGCAGCTGCGGCTCCCCCGGGAAGTGCACGCACCTCCCACGCCCCCCTCGCTGCCCCGCGTGGAAAACGCCTCAGATGCCGGAAGGGCCTGCGCAGAGACGGGGCTGACGGCCCCGGTCCCCGCCGTCGGGAGACTCGGTCACACCCGCTCCCGGGTGAAAGCCGCACGCCGGGGAGCGCCTCGCCGGCTGCGGGGACAAGCCGTGGCGCGCGGAGGGCTGGCTGCTGCGACTCGACCGCCCCGCCCGCCGCCCGCACCCAAGTTTGTGCCAAGTCACGGCGCGCGCTATCGGCCCGGGGCCCGCCACCCCCACGGCGCCCGCCCGCCGGCTTCTGGCACTTATCGGCCGCCGGGCCCCGCCCGCCTCACCTGCCCAGCTCCCGGCCCGGGCTCAGGCTGTAGCCGTCCTGGAAGGGCTCGGTGCGCACGGCGGTGCGGATCTCCGTCAGCAGTCCGCGGGCCTGAGGTGGGGGCGGCGGCCGGCGCGGCGCGCCCAGACTCCTGTCCGCCCGGCCCGACCCGGAGGCGGCGGCCGAGGGGGAGCCGCGGCTGCCGGGCTTCTCCAGGGGGATCATGGTGGACCGGCACGCTTCCTTTCCGGCCGCCCCGCTCGTTCCCGGCTGCCCGCGGGTAACGGTCCCACCTGCAGCCGCCTCGCGCGGACCCAAGAGCCTCCAGGAAGCCGCTCTCCCCCCAGTCAGCGCGCTTTAACTGCGGAGGGCGGACTCCCGGCGTCCAGCCCACGTCCCGCCCCGCCCCCTGGCCCGCCCCTCGCCCCGCCCCCCCCCGCCCCGCCCCCCCCCCACCCCCACCCCCCGCCGGCCCGCGCGGAGTCGGGAGTGCAGGGTATCTCACGCGCTCCATCTGCAGCCGAGAGGGAGAGAGTGCAGCCTGGGGGGCCGCTCCGGCCTGGGGGAGAAGAAAAGCAGCACTACACTTCCAAAGCCAGGGCTCCCGGCCCCAGCCAGTTACACACCTGTTGAACATCTGAGTGCTCCAAAACTTGATCCCTCCGTCAGTGAAAGGCATAAGTGTTGCCAGCTGGCGCTTTACCTTGGGCGCGGGCCGTGGGGGAGGGGGGCGGGTTGTTATGAGACTCCGAGCCGAGACTCCAGCACGGGGAGTTGACCAGGGCACCTCGTTGCTTCACACACTGCGAGGAAATCTGGAAGCGGAAGTTGAGTAAATATTATTAACCCCTTACTCTAGCCCTATGCAATACGCAGTATTATATGTCTATAGTCTTCTCTGTATTTAACATGGTGCTCTCGTCTGGTATTTCTTCTAAATATTAGGGTTGGGTTTTTTTTTTTAAAGATTTCTTTTATTTATTTGTCAGAGAGAGAGAGAGAGAGAGAGAAAGCACAGGCAGACAGAGTGGCAGGCAGAGGCAGAGGGAGAAGCAGGCTCCCTGCCGAGCAAGGAGCCGGATGCGGGACTCGATCCCAGGACGCTGGGATCATGACCTGAGCCGAAGGCAGCTGCTTAACCAACTGAGCCACCCAGGCGTCCCTAGGGTTGTTTTTTTTGAATGGACTTTAGGGGCGTCTGGGTGGCTCAGTGGGATAAAGCCTCTGCCTTCAAGTCAGGTCATGATCTCAGGGTCCTGGGAGCGAGCCCCGCATCGGGCTCTCTGCTCAGCAGGGAGCTTGCTTCCTCCTCTCTCTCTCTGCCTGCCTCTCTGCCTACTTGTGATCTCTGTCTGTCAAATAAGCAAATAAAAGAAATAATTAAAAAAATAAAAAAAAATAAAAATTTAAAAATGGACTTGATTTTTATTTTAGAGAAATTTTAGGTTCACAGCAAAACTACCTGAAAGGTACAGAGATTTCCCACATACCTTCTCCCTCCCTCATCTGGTCTGTTTTTAATTTAATTAAAATAGACACACAATATTGTATTAGTTTCAGGTGTACAAGATAGTAAGTATATTTTTATACATTATGAAATGATCGGCATCATAGGTCTAGTTGCCATCTATCACTATACAAAGTTATTACAATATTCACTATATTCCCTATGTTGTACATTACATCCTCATGACTTATTTATTTTTATCTAGAACTTAGTGCCTCTTAATCCCCTACACCTATTTTGTCCCTCTTCTATCTGCCTCCCCTCTGGCAACCACCTGTTAGTTCTCTGTATCTATATATCTATAAGGCTGTTTATGTTTTGTTTTGTCTTGTTTTTAGATTTCATATATAAGTGAAATGATATGGTATTTGTCTTCCTCTGACCTATTTCACTTAACATAATGCCCTCTAGGTCCATCCATGTTCTTGAAAATGGCTAGATTTCATTCTTTTTAAGGGCCGAGTAATATTCCATATATATTCACTGAACCTTCTGCATGAATTTACATTCCAACCAATAGTGCACGCCCTCACCAACACTTGTTATTTCTTGTCTTTTTGATAATAGCCATCCTAACAGCTGTGGGTGGCTATCTCCTGATGGTTCGGACTCCCATCTCACTGATGACTAGTGATGCTGAACATCTTTCTTGTGTATGTCGACCATCTGTGTGTCTTCTTTGAAAAATTGTCGATTCAGGACCTCTGCCGATTTTTTTAAATGAGGTTGTTTGCTTTTTGTTATTGAGTTGTATGAGTTCTTTATATATTTTGGATATCAACCCTTTATCAGGTATATGATTTGCAAGTATCTTCTCCCATTTGGTAGGTTATATTTTGTTTTATCGGTGGTTTCCTTCACTGTGCCAAAACTTTAGTCAGAGACAGTCCCATTTGTTTATTTTGGGTTTTTTTGCCCTTGCCTGAAGAGACATCAAAAAAATATTCAGTGATAAAGAGCTTACTGCTTGGTTTTTCTTCTAGGATTTTTATGGTTTCAGGTCTACATTTAAGTTTTTAATCCTCTTTGAGTTTATTTTTGAATATGGTATAAGAATGTGGTCCACTTTTATTCTTTTGTATGTAGCTGCCCAGTTTTCCCAGACTGCTTTTTATTTTTTTTAGATTTTATTTATTGGACACAGAGAGAGAGAGAGAGGACAAGCAGGCAGAGCAGCAGGCAGAGGGAGAGGGAAAAGCAGGCTCCTCTGAGCAGAGAGTCTGAAGTGGGGCTCAATTCCAGGACCCTGAGATCATGACCTGAGCCAAAGGCAGTTGCTTAACCAGCAGAGCCCCCCAGGTGCCCCTCCCAAACTGCTTTTAAAAGATACTGTCTTTTCCACATTGTGTTCTTGCCTCCTTTGTTACAGATTGGCCATGTAAGCATGGGTTTATTTCTAGACTCCCTGTTCTGTTCTACTGATCTGTGTGTCTGTTTTTGTGCAAGTAACGTACTGTATTGATTACTATAGCTCTGTAGTATAGTTTTATCTGAAAGCATGATACCTGCAACTTTGTTCTTTCTCAAGATTGCTTTGCTGTTCTGGGTCTCTGGCAGTTTCATACAAATGTTAGCATTATTTGTTCCAGTTCTGTGAAAAATACTATTGGTATTTTGGTAGGGATTGCATTAAATCTGTAGATTGCTTTGAGCAGTGTGGGCATTGAAATAATACTAATTCTTCCATCCTGTGAGTATGGCATGTCTTTTCATTTATTTGTGTCATCTTCAGTTTCTTTTAGCAACGTCTCATAATTTTCAGCATATAGATCTTTCACTTCATTTGTTAAACTTACTCCTAGGTTGGGGCACCTGGGTAGGCTCAGTTGGTTGAGCATCTGACTCTTGTTTTCAGCTCAGGGCATATTCTTAAGGTCATGAGATCAAACCCCCAAGATCAAACCCCATGTCTGATTCCATGGTCAGCACAGAGTCTTCTTGTCCCTCTCCCTTTGCTCCTTCCCCCACTCATGCTCTCTCTCTCTCTGTCAAATAAGTAAGTAAATAAATAAATAAGTAAAATCTTAAAAAAAATTGTTCCTAAGTATTTCATTCTGTTTCATGCGATTGTAAATGAAATTTTTTCTTAATTTCTTTTTCTGATAATTTGTTATTTGTGTACAGAAATGCAACAGATTTCTTTTTTTTTTTTTTTTAAAGATTTTATTTATTTATTTGACAGAGAGAGATCACAAGCAGGCAGAGAGGCAGGTAGAGAGAGAGGAGGAAGCAGGCTCCCCGCTGAGCAGAGAGCCCCATGCAGGGCTCGATCCCAGGACCCTGAGATCATGACCTGAGCCGAAGGCAGCGGCTTAACCCACTGAGCCACCCAGGCGCCCCAAGAAATGCAACAGATTTCTGCATATTAATTTTGTATCCTGCAACATTACTGAATTCATTTGTTCTAATAGCTCTTTGGTGAAAGCTTTAGGGTTTTCTATATATAATATCATGTCGTCTGCAAATAGTGACAGTTTTACTTCTTCCTTTCCAATTTGGATGTTTTTATTTGTTTTTCTTGCCTAATTGCTGTGGTGAGGACTTCCAATACTATGTTGACTAAAAGTGGGGAGAGTGGCCATCCTTGTCTTCTTCCTGATCTAAGAGGAAACCTTTTAGCTTTTGTGTCGATTATGATGTCAGCCGTGGGTTTGTCATATATGGCCTTTGTTACGTTGAAGTACACTTTCTCTATACAGACTTTGTTCAGAATTTTTATTGTCAAATACCTTTGCCTGACTCTATTATGATAATCATGTGATTTTTTTTTCTCCATTTTGTTGATGTGGTATATATCACATTTGTTTGCAGATCTTAAACTATCCTTGCCTCCCTGGATGAATCCCATTTGATGATGGTGTATGATCCTTTTAATGCATTGTTGAACTTGGTGTGCTCTTCTGGGTGTTCTCTGGTTCCATACAAATATTAGGATTATTTGTTCCAGCTCTGTGAAGAATGCCGATAGTACTCTGATAGGGAATGCATTGAATGTGTAAATTGCTTCGGGTAGCATGGACATTTTACCAATATTTGTTCTTCCAGTCCATGAGCATTGAATGTTTTTCCATTTCTTGTGTCTTCTTCAATTTCTTTTATAAGTGTTCTATAGTTTTCAGAGTACAGAACCTTTACTTTGGTTAGGTTTATTTCTAGGTATCTTATGGTTTTTGGCACAATTGTAAATGGGATCAATTCCTTGATTTCTCTTTTTTTCTGCCTATTATTGTATAGAAATGCACCTGACTTCTGTGCCTTGATTTTATATGCTGTGACTTCACTGAATTCCTGTAACAGTTCTAGCGATTTTCTTGCTGGAGTCTTTTGGGTTTTCTACACAGAGTTTCAAGTCATTTATGAAGAGTGAAAGTTGGACTTCTTCCTTGCCATTTGGATGCATTTATTTCTTTTTGTTGTCTGATTGCTGAGGCTAGCATTTCTAGTACTATGTTGAACAACAGTGGTGATAGTGGACATCCCTGTCATGTCTGACCTTAAGGGGAAAAGTTCTGTTTTTCCCCACCGAAGATTATACTCCTTGTGGGTTTTCCATATACAGCTTTTATGATATTGAGGGATGTACCCTCTACCCCTACACTGTGGAGAGTTTTAATCATGGAAGGATACTGTATTTTGTCAAATGCTTTTACTGCATCAATTGAGAGGATCATATGGTTCTTGTCCTTTGTTTTATTAATGTGGTGTATCATATTGATTGATTTGCAGATGTTGAACCACCCTTGCAGCCCAGGAATAAATCCCACTTGGTCACGGTGAATAATCCTTTTAATGTACTGTTGGATCCTAGTA